ATGTCAGAATTCTGACCTAAGGAGCCGAGAGACAACAGATGAGTAGATCTTAAGCCATTAAGTTTACAGTAATTTGCTGTGGCAGCAACAGAAAATGGATACACAGGCCAAGTCTGATTCCTCTTCATAATGTGGCCTCTCAGCCCCTTCTCAAATGAACCTGCCCTGAGTCCTGGCCAAAGCAGTTCATCCCAGTCAGGCTGCTCTCCTCCCCGTGTCCCCACACATGATGCTTGTCACTTTCTTACCACCCATATTTTCCTCACCAGGACTGTAGATTCTTCTTCCCCCCGGCCTCATGCTCACCCCCATCCCTGCCATGCTCAAACCAGCCGAGTGGCCACACCCCACCTGGAACTCCATCATGTCCTGCCTTACTCATGATTTCTAAGCACATCTCTTCTTTCTTCTAACTCCTAAAAGATGAAGACTTTGTTGTGTGCCTACCTTGTGGCTCCATAATACCTATCATTACATGTACTGAACCCTTGGTAAATATTTGCTCAGGGAAGGACTGATTCAACCCAACCAGCCCACTGTGCAAGGCTCTCGCTGTCACACACAGGAGACGAGGCTTTGAGTGTTTCTAGCTAAACTAACCCCTGGGATTTGTACCAGGACTTGCAGTTTTCCAGGCATTTCCAAATAAATTATCTCAGGTAATCTTTACAAACAACCATTAGATAAACAGGGCAGGTATTTTTAATTCCCAGTTTTTATAGACGAGAAAACAGAAGCTCCGAAAGGTTTGCCCACGTGATGACCCTGCCCCCAGACCCCGCGCTTTCACAGCGCAGGGCAGAGACACCGCTTGGGAAACCTGAGAAAGAGAGAGAGCAGCACGGCAGAGCTGCGCACTCCAGGCAGCACCACGACGCGACTCAGACTGTCGCGGGCTTCCAGGCAGTCAGACTTCATCGTGTCTGTTTCTCCACCACCTCCCCACCCCTCCTCTCGCTCTTTCTCCACGTTTTCTTCAAGAAAAAGTTCTTCTATTTAATTTTAAAGCCAACAATGTCTGGGTCTAAAGCACTCCTGCTTTACGGGGGGAAAAAAGCAAAAACTCGAATCCCAACAGTGTGATCACTGAGCTGCAGACGTGAGTGGAGCGGATGACCAGACGGCCAGAGCGCCGGCCTGAGCTAGAGGGCCCGGTCGCAGCCCCAGCTCCGCCTCTGACTCTGGCTTTGCACAAACCACTGCCCTTCCTTCCTTCACTTGGAGAGCAAGAACCTGTTTCACATCTCCTACGGTTGTCGTGAGGATCAAGAGACGTAATCAATCTCAGGCTTCTGACAGCTGGTCAGGGCTACACATATGTAAAACGTCAAATTCCTCACCCCAACCACTCTCACTCCAATTACCAGCACTCAGGCAAACCTAAGAACATCCCAGGCTCCTGGCTACGCTCTGAGGATGTAGTTTTCTTCCCTTTAAGCTGGCTTTGGCATTCTTTTAACCCGATGTCATCTTATTCAAAACATTAGTGGGCAAAGAGGGAGGATGATGAAGAAGTAATTGCGAGATTTACCCCAAGTCCCACACAGGCCCAAGGGTCCCTCACTCCGTCTGCCTCGATCCTTTCAGAAGATGAGCACAGCAGAGCCGAAAAAGCCCTGGCCGTCACAAATGCAGAAACCCAGTCTCCTCGTCTTCCTCAGCGCAGACACAAGGCGTCTTTAGCGACTCCAGGCCCTGCCCTGCAAGTGACTGACTTACACACGAGCTTCTCCAGTGCCGAACGCACACCCATATTCAGGTTGAATTAAACTTTCACCAACTCTCCACAGCCCTTCAGAGATTTCAGATCACACAGTACGGGTGCTTTCCAAATGGGGCCCATTTTCTGGTGAGAATCTGTCCCGGGAAATTTATTGCAAATCTAACAAGACCATTTTACTGTAGTACATCTATAGCCGATTTTCCTTGAACAGTGTTTATAATTCTAGAAGATTGATTGCTCTTTAAATCCTTCCACAGTTATTCAGACAAGCATTATGATCACTAATTTCAATAAAAAGTGCTTAGAGATTTTTCTTTTTATAATAAATTTTAGGCTTTGTATAGACAAAGAAATTTTAAAGTCATGACAATATCCTCCTAGATAGTTAAAATTAATGGCTGAAACACGGAAGTCTCGACTGTGCAAACCTGAATTGCATTTTGGAAACATACTGGATGACTCCCAAAGCGCTGGCCTTAGTTTCTCACCAGAGTTCTCGTCTGAAGCAGTAGATCTGGGGAAGATGAATTCTGTTTTAAATATGTCAAAGTTACGATGAGAGTGGGATACAGTAGATATACAAAAATGAGGACTTTCTGTGATTTGGGGGCAAATCACTTAATCTCTGTGAGCATTAGTTCCTTCAACTGTACAAAAGAAATAGCTGCACTGCTTCACAGGAGGTTGTGAAATAACCATATGAGAAAAAGCTTCTCAACTCTAAATCAAATTGTATATACTTCATTATTATGTATCAAACCAGCTTCTATCTACCACTACCACCTGGAGTAGCATGAGGAATCCCTGATGTTTCTAAAGTAGGTTCATCTTCTTTACAACCAGCTGCTTCTCCAGATGTTCCTATTTACGCTGATGACACCTCCATTATCCTAGGCATCCAAGCTTAGAAACTCCTAGAAACCTCACTCCCACCCACCCTGATCCAAGAATGATGAGTCCCTTTCAAAATATAAACCTGATCAGGTCAACCTCTTACTCAAAAATCACTGACAATTTCCAACTGTTCTTGACAAAAGCTTCAAAAGTCGACCCCAGGACGCGGTCCTGTATGGTCCTGCCCACCCCTCACTCCATCATCTCTCCTCTTTCCTGTCTGCACTCCAGCCACACAGCCTTCTTCAGTTCCTCCAAAGCCTGTCCCTCCGCTACACAGCCTTTCCCACACCATCCCTTCGCTGGAACCGTCTGTCATCACCTCCAGCTCCATGTCCTCTGCAAAGCCATCCTGCACGCCCTACAGTGCTCAGGCTCTGCTGTAATGGGGGTGCAGAGAGACACAGCCCATCCTGGGGCACTGAGTATCGTTTAAATACGTTACGTGACGTCTCTCTCTGCTTCCTCAACTATAAAGTTCATGAGAGTAGTGATTCCATTTTTACTCCAACATTGTAATCTCAACGCCTAGCACATAATGGGTACTTTTTAAATGAATGAGTAAATCAATCAATCTTGGGATCTTCTCATCATTATCTATATACATATATTTAAGACCCTGAAAGCATTTTCTCTGATGCAGGGTAAGATGAAAAGCAGAAATGTAAAAACCTGTCACCTATTTTCTCCATATTTCTTCCACCTAAATGTTTCCTTATACCTCGCCCCAATCTCTTTCCATATGACAGTTTGGCAAACATCTAAGAAATGGAAGAGTGCCACTCTTCCTATAATATTTATTATATAGTAAAAGAATAATAACCATAGTATCTATTTTAATTTCTATTTTAATCTTTCGTCCTACTTTTGAAAGATTTTTTTTCTAGGAAAGTACTGTAATTGAAGCACAAAGACAAGCACGCGTGTTTCATGCTCCTGCAGGAGGTATTGTGGTTGCTGCTCTTCACCTTAGGGGTGTGAGGAAGGGAGGGAGCTGTTTGCAGGGAGTCTGGTATTCAACATGCTGAGTGCAGCACAGGCCTGGGAAAGCACGGGTGCCTCACGGTAGATGTGAGGGAAGCATGCGGGGCTGAGCCGGGACACAAACCAAATTTCACAATTTTATACCTCTAAATATTTGAGCCTCATAGTTGTAGCTCTCATAAAACTTCTTCACATTCCTCGTACCAACGAGGCGATCAAATACAACAATTAAGGAGTGACCTAGGGGTCCTGCAGACCTCGGTTTGAAGCCTGGTTCAGTCTTTTATCAACTCTAAGGCCTCGGGCAGACTGAGTAACCATACCCAACCTCAGTTTCCTCACCTGTAAAATGGACAAATACAAACAGCCCCTAGTTCCTAATGTTGTCCTGAGGATTAATGAGGCCCTTAGCAGTGCACTCTGCCACAGAGTAACCCTCCACTCCTGTCAGTTATTTGAGTATCACCACGCCCGTGACGTAGGCAGGACAGGTAACTGTATCCCCACCGACAGCCTCGCAGAGTCAAGAGCACACACCACTCGCGTCATAGAGCCAGGACCTGAATGGAAGTCAAGCAACCACAGATCCCCCGTTAATTCTTAGCATAGCGAAATTCCTGGTGGAAGAAGGTACTTCATAATACAGTGTTACTGTTCTTTCAAGCTATAATCCAAGCAGCAAATTACGTTTGAGCTTTTAAAACCACCTGAAACGTAAGATAATTCACACCAGTTCTGAGTGTAAAATTCTGTGGTGTTGAAGAAGTAACTGTCCCCACGATCACGGGCAGAACCTCAGAAGCCAGAGAGGCACGGACGTTTAGTCTCAACCAAAAGGGGGAGACTCCACAGAACCCAGTCCAGATCACGCAGGCACCGGTCGGCAGCTGCAGCCCACAGGCCTGTTTCTCCTCCCAGACTGGAAGCTCCTTGGTCGTCACTGAATTCCCAGGGCCTGCGTCAGTCAGCCAAGTTTTACTGGATCGCAGCCATGCCCATTCGTTTGTGTACAGTGCAACAGAGACCACACGGTCCACAAAGCCTCAAGTGTTTTTACCTGGCCCTTCACAGAGAAAGTCTGCCGACCTCTGTTATAGAAGACATAAAACAGGGGAAAATAAACCCTGAAAATATCTTAAAATGAAAAATTTTATTCCTCGAGTTCTTTATTAGCCCTGTCAGCCCCACGAAGAAGGGGTGCTTTACCTTTTTTGTGAAGTACCAAGTGAGTCAAATCCCCCAAATGAAATGAACAGCAGGGCCTTCAAAGGGGGAGGGATTTTTCCCAGAAAAGCAAGTGTAAGATCCCGGTGCTCAGCTACACTCATCTCAGCGGCCCCAGCATCCTTGTCTCCCCCAGTCATGAACTCCCGCACATTCACAGGTACAGAAGACTCACTGGGATTTTCTCTTCTTCGCGGGGTGGTGCTGCTCCAGAGCCGCGCCCCACCTCCTCCTCTCCTGCCGCCTTCCCACAGATGCTCTCCGTCTCCCTGTTAGCCGGTGCTGGCAGATCACAGTGCTGTGACTTTGTTTTCAAGCTATTGGTGAATTCTTTGGACTGAGTTTTTCTGAAGAGAAACAAATGTGAAATTATCAAAAACGTTCTTTAACATGGACAGCTTTTCCAAAGCAGATGTTTACACTCAAATTATGTGAAAAATAGTAACAGAAACCATTTACAGCGTGCTTATAATACACCGAGTCCCCTGCTGGGTATTTTTGTGTGTGTGTGTGAGGAAGATCAGCCCTGAGCTAACATCCATGCCAATCCTCCTCTTTTTGCAGAGGAAAGCTGGCCCTGAGCTAACATCCGTGCCCATCTTCCTCCACTTTATGTGGGACGCCACCACGGCATGGCTGGACAAGCAGTGCATTGGTGCGCACCGGGGATCCAAACCCGGGCTGCCAGCAGTGGAGCGTACTCACTTAACTGCTACACCACAAGGCCAGCCCCCATCTGCTGGGTATTTTAAAGACATTACCTTAATCCCCATAACAACCCTATGAGGAAGACCCTGTTATCCTTGCTGTGTTGTAAGAGGCTCAAAATAATTATATATAATTTATCAAGGCCACATAGCGGCACTGCCAGGATTTGAACTCCGGTCTGCCCAACTCCTGGTTCAGAGGCTAAACTGCTAGAACACACTGCCTTCCTATGATCAGCAGCAAATAATTCCTTTATCTCTGTGTGGCCATTTACAATTTTAAAGTTACAGGAGTTGGTGGGCAGCATCACTAGCCCCTGGGAACTGAATCGAGGTCCACATGTCTGTTTCTACTTTGCCAGCTCAGCTAGGCTGTCAGCACTCAAGGGGCAGCAGGCTTTGAGGAGGCCACTCTGGGCATCCAGCAGAGGGGCCATCACCCACCTCACTGCTACCCCGCAAGTTACCTTTCTGTATCTCCAGTTGATCGTGTCACTTCCTTATTCATAACCTCCTCACTGCTCACAGAATAAGGTCCAAACTCCTAAATGTGGCCTTCGAGGCTGTTTAGAGCATGGCCCATGTCTCCTACCACTTGCCCACATACACCCCAAACACTCAGAAGAACGCATTACCCACAGAACCATACATATTCAAGTCTAGGGGTCTTGATTATGCCCTCTGCCTGCAATTTCCTTCCTGATCTTCCATAGCTAGAAAACTCTACTTATCTTTCAAGGTTCAATTCAGATTTCACCTCTTCTGTGGATCAGAACGATAGGCTCAGTTAACACTCTGTTCATAACTTAACTATAGCACATATCACAGCCTGTATCAGCTGCAGTTAGTCATGTATCTGCCTGTCTCTCCTCCTACACTGGAAGCTCCTTGTTCATCGTTGAATTCCCAGGGCCTGGCACAGTGTAAGCACCTACAGGGCCGGCTTATGCCGCCGCCCAGATCTCAGCAATCTCCTCTGAAGGCCTGAGCCTGAACAGCGGCTGCATTTCTCAGTTATAGTCCTGATGCTCAGCTGTGGCGGTCTGCACTGCTCTAGCGTGATTCTAGTGAAGCCAATGACCACGAGGGAACTGCATCCAGATCAAAACTGGAATGACAAGTGGGGAAGTGAAACAGTTGACCTGATAGCAGTGTGGGAATGAGGGGAATCGCCAGAAGTCCAGAGAAAGTTTCCAGAGAGATCTAAAGTTATTTTGTGACCCTCAGACCCCAACCCCTCTCTCCCAGATGCCGTGAGCAGGAGCATCTTTGCATTGCTTTACAAGGTCTGGCCAGCCTCTCGCTGGTTTGCAGATCTCCTACCTGAGCTCTTCTGCTTCCTGCTGCGCTTTCAGCCGGGCCCTCTCAGCAATCATTTCATTACAGAGCACGTCGTAGGGTTTATCTAGATGGTGTTCGCCCATCACCCAGACCCAGACTTCCTTATCAGCTCCCAGTTTCCAATGAACGGATTTGCCATTCTCTGCAAGCAAAACAAAATTCGGATTGAAAAAAATCTTTAGTCATGGGTTATTATGTTTCCCATCATTAAGCTATTTAGGAACTTTGGGGAAAAAAAATTAGATGAGGCAGAGCACTTCCAACCTGCTCAGGAACAAGCAGCATGCCCAGGGACAATGGAAGCAGTGGCAGTGGGTGGTGGCAGCTGCAGTAGTGCTTGTTTTAAAATATGATGAATATGGCTTTTGCCTGCGCCCATTTTATAAATGAACAAGTCAAGACGGGAGGAGAGCAGGCATTGTTTGCATTATCCCTTAGGGTAACGGAGCTGGCATCAGACACCAGAACCTCTTAAGTCTAAGAATCTCCTTGTAACTCACAATTACACAGCTGCTCCAGGGTGTGGTGCTTCCCCTATCTTTATAGGCTTCATTGCTGGGTAAAACCATGCATTTTAGAGTTAGACTGGTTTGAATTCAAATCCTAACCCTGCCACTTACTAGCTGGGTGACTTGGGCAAATTATTGGATCTCTCTAAGCCTCAATTTCCTCAACTGCAAAATGGGAATACTGACATCTGCTGCGTAGGACTGCTGGGGGAGCAGGCTGCCGAGGTGGCCAGGTCCTTTCCCAGTGCCTGCCATGTCACAGGAGTCCCTGAGAGGCTCCCTGCTATCATCACTCTCCTACTGTTTACTGATGTGGCTGCTCAGAGCTTCACACCAGCCTGTGACTGTCAGTGCGATACCTGGTGAGGCTACTCAAATAACTGTTGTTTACAACTGGTTGCCAGGGTTGTATTACATCCTAGTTCTGTACTCATGAGATGCGACCACACAGGTCATGCCCCCTGACACCTGGAGAAGGTGGCACATACACAGGAGAGGCCAAGAGGTGCAGACCCTAAATCTAAAGGCCCCAGAGCAGACCTACCCAGGGCCATTATGGTCCCCAGTTGGCTCCAGTCAAGCTCCCTGGGCCCTGAGGACCCAAACTAGCCAGTGGTGTCGAGTATGTGAAACAGGCCACCTAACTGGAACACAGCTCGGCCGTGCTTACAGGTTAGAAATCCACACTGGGATCGTGTCTTGTCGTCTCACATTAAATAGAGGAAGGTTTCCATTAAAGCGTCTTCTGGGGCCGGCCCCGTGGCTTAGCGGTTAAGTGCGCGCGCTCCGCTGCTGGTGGCCCGGGTTCGGATCCCGGGCGAGCATCGACGCACCGCTTCTCCGGCCATGCTGAGGCCGTGTCCCATATACAGCAACTAGAAGGATGTGCAGCTATGACATACAACTATCTACTGGGGCTTTGGGGGGAAAATAAATAAATAAATAAAATTATTAAAAAAAAAAAGCGTCTTCTGTCCAATGTATTGTTGACCTACGTCCTACTGTTGCCTCAGGAAACATTAAAAAAGCAAGCTCCTCAAAGCCAGACTTGTTATTTTGGCACCTTCCACTCTTCTCAGTGCAATGGAGACTTCCTGCAGTATAATAAGGTTCTACACAGAGATCCCGGGCTGGGGGAGAAGACAGAATCATCGTCTTCACTATAAAAGAAGTCAGATGTATCACCCGGAAGGAAGCCGACCTCACACTGTTTCACAAGTGGAGAAGCAGTGAAAGGGGCGCCAGGCATGAGGGAAGATCAAGCCCAGCGCGCCCCAGTGGGGATGGCCTGGCACCTCCGGCTCCATGTGCGGAAACGCCAATGGTTCAGTAACTCTAGAAAGTTGTCATACCCCATCCAGCTCCGTCTATTACACTCTCTCGGGGCAACTAACAATACCTTTTACCACATCCATCTCTCAACCTTCACCTGTGTGACTCTCTACTAATATTTTTGACAGCAGAGGGAGACGCCTGAAAGGAGAGTGGCAGAGAGCCGGGGAGGCACAGAGGAAGAGCCCAGAGGTTCCAGCTCTCTGTTCAGTGCAGCACGCCAGACGCTTCCCCAAACGCCATCTCCAGAGACCCGCAGGCTGCAGGCTGGCAGCGGTAACTCAGGGGAGAGGGCGCTGCTCTCGGGTGGAGGCGGCGAAATCCCAGAACTGCCTGTGAACAGAGGAGGGTGCTTAGAAACTAAAAGTAGAGAAGAGAGCCAAAGGAGAGGAGCAGAGTCTAGAAATTTCAAAAGGACGGGGTGGTGAGAGTATGGTGAAGAAAAAGAAATAGTGGCTTTGGGCAAGAAGAAAGAGAATTATGATGGAAAATGTTAGATTTAGCCAGATGCCAAAAAACGGACTCTTGAGAGAACGGCACTGCCAATGATCTCGGTTCTGACTGCTTCTCACCTTCAGGAGCTCTTTTTTTTTTTTTTTTTGCTGAGGAACATTTGCCCCGAGCTAACATCTGAGGCCAATCTTCCTCTTTTTTTTTTTGCTGAGGAAGATTAGCCCTGAGCTAACATCTGTGCCAATCTTCCTCTATTTTGCATGTGGGATGCCACCACAGCATGGCTGATGAGTGGTGTCAGTCCGCACCCAGGAACTGAACCTAGGCCGCCAAAGTGGAACACACAACTTAACCACTAGCCCATGGGGCCAGCCCCTTCAGGAGCTCTTAAATGGGGCCTGAAGGCAAAGAGACTGGAGGGGCTTCAAGTGGTTGCATACAACTAACTCCCTAATACCTTAGGCCGGGGGCCGGGGGGTGTGCGTAAGTCATTCTAGTAAAATGAGCATTAGCTCTGATACCCTCAGCTTCACACCAAGATTAGGGAAGACTATCAAGGCCTCTGTTTAGTTCATTCCACAAAAACTTATTGAGTTTCTAACTCTGAGCACGGTGCAGAGCCCGAAGCTGCAGGGGACACAGGCATAAAACGGATGGGGCCATTCTCCTGCAAGTCACCTAGAGCCCGTGAGAGAAAGAGCAAGGCATTAGGTCCCTCAGGTAATGAATTTTATTGCATATCTACTATGTGCCAGGTACTGAGGGAGACCTGTGTAAACACTCATGAACCAGACAGACCATCTCTGCCCTCGGGGAACTTACATTCCAGCTGGAGGAGGCAGACACTGAGCAATTAATTATCAAAGTACTACCACTTGGGGGGGTGTTAAAGCGTGCTATGGGAAGGCTCAACAAGAGGCACTAACCAGTTTGGAGGGCCAGGGGGACATATATTATAACCACAATAGATTGTAAGTCCAGTGAGGATTCAGAGGATGGAAAGACTGCTTTGGAAGGACAGAGAAGAGGAGCAGTCCCCTGCACTGAGTTCTAGAGGACGGGTATGGAATTAGAGTGTGGGTGGGCTCGGTGCCGGACACATAGATCAGCACGACCCACGACCAGAGGAGGGGATCCCGGGGGGTGCGGGAGTCAGGGTCTCAGTCACGGCCGTGGGCGGAGGACGCAGGGGGCCACATGGACAGTCCCAGCCCCCTGGCTAAAGGCAAATGCAGGCCCTGCATGTACTGCATACAGCCCGAGAGCGGCATTAAAATCCCAGTTTTCTACCAACTCTTCATGTGACCATGTACACGCCACTTTCTCTCTCTGAGCCTGAGTTCCTCTGATAAAATAGAGGTAGTGAGTCTGACCTCACAGGCCTGTCACGTGATAAGTGCTCAAAAAGTATCAGTTCTGTGTTCTTGATCGAGCGACCCACCAAGAGCCCGTGAGCGCGTCTGTGCAGGCGGTGCGGGATCAGAGACGTGCTCAGGAGGCGCTGTGCCGTGCCAGCAAACAGGGCGGGTCCGGGTCGTATGAGGTGGGTGTTCAGTGAGCGTCCAGGGAGAGAACTGGGGAAGACGAGGGCGAAAAGACCAGGAGTGACATAACCAGGACCCGAATGAGGGAAAGGCCAGGTTACACAGGACACTCGGGTTCAGGCCCCGAGTCAAGGAAGGACTCAAAGATGATGCCAACATTCTGACACTGACTGACAGAGAGGAGAGTGGGGGACAAGCGGAAACAGTGACATCAAGAGAATAAATTTGCTTGAAGAGTAAGATATTGAGCTATTTTGGAAATGTAGAATCAATTATTTTTAATTTTACTAGAAATCCACATGGAAACGTTTAGTAGATGTCTGAAACACGGAATTGGAGTTCAGAAGTGAGGTTGAGATTGACGATGTGAATTCGGGATTACGTCATAGATGTCATCGTTGAAGCCTCTGCACAGATGAATTCACAAAGACGACGAAGCCTAGAAGAGAACTTTGGAAAAGCCTGGGCTTCATCAAGGATGCAGAAGAAAAGGGAAGGAAAAAAGTGATTCGAAAGGGAAAAAAAAAGAGAGAATTCTGATTCCTAGTAACTAAATAATGAAGGAGACTGGGGAGGATGCACTGCCACGAAGCCACGAGAGGAAAAGGGGCACGATGGTGCTCCATGCTGCTGAGATGGGGGGTGGGGGGAGGGGATGATGGGGACGGAAAAAGATCGGCAGCATCTCTGACCTCGGAGAGAGTAATTTTAGGGTGACAGGCAGGCGACAGCCTACAAAATCAGAACAGAAAGGATGGTAAGAACTGGTGGAGGCTGTCAAGGAGGGCTCTGAGAAGTTTCTCAGTGACGAGGGAGACGAGGAGCCAGCCACTGGTTCAGCAGACCCTGACGGGGCAGCCGCTGGGTCCCAGGCCCCGCAGACAGGCCTGCGAGAGGGAAGAGCAGCCCAGGAGCAGAACCGGTCGAGAAGTGTCTTGAAACAAGGGAAACATGGACAGGTCTTACACTTGTGTTGTTGGAAGGGAAGAGAGTAAGGCTGCCAAGGACTAGGCCAGGGGAACGGTGGATAGCGCGATGTGCAGAGAATCAGTAAAGAAGAAAGTGCTGCCAAGGACAGGAGAGAAGCTCCAGCCCGACATGCACAGAACCCTACTTCCACCCCTAATGTACATCCTGAAGATAAAGGTATAAACCTGAGGGATCCTAAGGGGGCAGGCACCACACCTGGTAATTTAATGCAATGCATGCATTCTGGATTTTCTGTCTACTTCACCTGGAAATTATATGCTCTCTTTAATCAGAGGACTGTGAGAGAGGGACCTTTTTATAGCACTTCCATTTGA